CACAAGTACATCCCTGGCTACTCCACAGCAAAGACCACACTAAAAGAGAAGGTGGGTCCAAAATATGGTAGGAGTGGGTATGGGCAACAGCAATGCCTGGGTACAGCCCACAACCTCATCCCTTCCTACACCTCCCTTACATTGACTGTTCTGCCCAGCTTGTGTCCAGACAGGCAGGGCTGGGGTGTTTCACGTGTCGGGATTGGGATTAACTATTTTATGGAGCCCTTTGTAGGTGGATGTACCATGAAGAAAGCTGTGGTACTGTGAAAAGCCTGCACTCGAAAAGAATCCTGGCAGGAATATCCACTGCCGTGGAGAGAAGCCCACAATGGAGCAAGTCCTACTGCCAGGACCTGTGAGCCTGTCAAGGAGTAACGTTGGAGCATTTTGTTCCTAAAGGACTGTACCCTTTGGAAATGACCCACCCTGTAGCAGGGGACCCACAGTGGAGCAGGGGAGCAGAGTGGCAGGAAGGAGTGTAGAGACTTCCAGAATCGGCTGAGCCCTTTCCCTCTCCTCCTCTGCCACTGGTGGGGAAGAAGGTAGAGAAGCTGGTAGTGAAGCTGAAACCAGGAAGAAGGAAGGCTGGGGCAAAGGTGGGGATAAATTTGTTATTATTTCTCTTTTTCCTTGTCTATGTGTAAGTGGCAATAAATTAAATGTATTTCCCCAAGACAAGTCTGTTCTTCCTGGTACAAGAATTGCTGAGTATTTCCCCAGCCTTTGTTGTGACCCCTCACCTTTGTGAAGTATTTTCTCCCATCGCCCAGTTGAGGAGAGGCAGTCAGAATGTCTTTATGGGCACCAGGCCATTTGCCAAGATCAACCTACCATGACATTGAAAGATCATCAGGTCCAATCTTGTATGGGAAAGGGAGCTTAGATGAGATTATCAACCACCCTTCGCGATTGCTCCTTGAAATCTTCCAGTGATGGGACCTCTCCCTGCGATTTTTCCAGGAAATCATTTTTATAACTGTTAAAATGTATCTCCTGTGTACACATGTGTCATGGTTTGAGATAGTCCCAAAATCCAATTCCCTAGTTCCATTCCCCCTCCCACATCTCAACCT